GGCAAGTGTACAGCAACAACAGTCCCAACCTCGTCCACATCTGCTATCTCAGACGCAAGCACAGCATCAGCAGCCACACACCATCCCTCCTGTCACATCATCCAGCAGTGGGGACTACCAGATGGCTTCAAATATTGCGGTTTCACAGCAGCAACAGTGCCAAGCGGGATGGATGCTACCCTGGCAGCATGTTTGTCAAGCGCAGCAGCTGCAGCAGGGACAGTCAGAGAGGTCTTCAAGTGCACCTTACTAGAAGACCAACCTGTAGGTCCCGTGACCAAATCATGGAAACAAAGGTTTGAAAGTGTTTTTGAGTTTCCTGATGTATACTGAACAATTTTGACTTGGGCTGCCCGGTTGAAAATCCCGGGCATTTTGGGGAAGGGTCAACAAAGGTCAAACAGGGGTCAAAATTCAAAATTGTGTCGATATGCATATTAAATTACTCGTCCAGTCATAAGGAACCTAGAAATATATAGTTTGTTATACTTCCGACTTTAAATGGGGGAGCTATGGACAAAAACGTTGAAAGGTCAACGCACTTTTGGCAGTCGGTGAAATTCACAAACACAGTTAACATTGTCCGAAAGTTATGGATTCTGAAATATGCTGCGTTATTGGCCAAAGATACTGTGACTTTGCTAAAAAAATTACAATTCTTCGTGCAGCCAACCATTTTCGATTTTCAAGGTCAAGGTAACCCTTTTTACTTTTAAAAACTGCTTGGTTGAATTTGTCATGTCAGAAAACATATTATTAGACACTAAAATCATGACTATCGGACAATGTTAACTGTGTTTGTGAACATCCAAAATAGCCTTACACACGGAAACAATCATTCCTGAGATGGTGTTGTGAGCAAGTCTGACATTATACATCAGTGAGTGGTATGAGTCTCCAGTAGCCAAGAACCTTAATGTCACAGCCAGCTTGAGTCCAGGAGACACAGGGTCACGCCATCGGGTCCTATTCTTGGTGAGACGGTCCTCTACCCTTGCTAACAGTTCATGGAATGTGGCCATGTCCAAGCGCAGAAAGTTCATGAAAGCTTCAGGATCCTCAAGTTGTAATTCTTCCATCAGGGCGTCATACTGACCATGGATTGATCAGCGTAGAAGCCAGTCACGAGCCCACCATCTTGTCTGTTTTCTCTTCGTCCTCTTCAAATTGCATGAGACACTGGGCATAACATAGCAGCTCTTTGTTGACAACAGCCCAGAACCGAATCATATTTACACTTCTATCACTCATGTTGTGTCTGCAGAGTTCAGACAACAAATGGGGGCATAGGTGGCCCAGTCGTCTAAGGCGCCGCGATTCGCTGTGCAGAGTTGCGTCCCATGGGCACGCCAGAAACCTATGATTGTGGGTTCGAATCCCGGTTCGCCCCGATTATGTTTCTAGGTTTGTCAGCACCATACCTGTGCTCGTGGGTTTCACTGAAGTGGTAAACGTCTGGGAGCTGCATCACTTCGGGCTTTCCTCCCACATTAAGCTGACACGCTGTGATGTAACTGGAATAATGTTAAAAGCGGCGTTAAACCCAACTCACCCACTCAGACAACAAATGATCAGACTGATGTCATCATGGGTTATAAATCATAATTTTGATACGTTTGATACGCAAACGAATGATATCTGGTCGTTCACACATTGCTAGTTTCGACCCTTTCGTCTTTTTGTACTGATATCCAAATTTGGAAAGGAGTTTACAAATGGTCCATTTGGAAATATCTAAGTCATGCTCTGTAAGAAGAATTTGTTTTAGCTTCCGTGTTGAAATACATTCATTTTCTCGTGTTGACAACTTTCTTATCAAAGGAATCTAACTTTAATTTCCTTTCCTGTTTTGAGATGCCCCCTAAGGGATGTGCAGGGGAGCATGTGTTTTTATGAGGGTTCAAAATCTTAACTACGGTTTGTTTGGGAAGCTGTAACGCATGAATTGTTCTTTTCATGTACTTTGAAATGCCAAAGAAGGGCGAACGTCTTGCACTTTCAGCCTTAAAGTATTCAAATATTTTAACAACGAAACCTTTCGCATCAAGGGAAAGATGCTTGCGCTGAGACATCATGAAATCTAATGCTAACACCGTATTCGTGTGTGCGTGATTCCCGTGCAACCTTTCGAGTTGAGTTGATTGGTTCAACTGTGTCATATGGCCCTGTGACGCAGGGGTAGCATTATGCAGATGGCTGTTACCATGAATGCTCGTACCACCCGTGACGAACAGGTCTGGTTGTTGATGAAATTTAGTGATAGCTAAACAGACAGATTTTTTATCTAGGTGGCGTTGAGTGTAAATGTCAAGTCCGGGTGTGAAAGCGCAAGGTATTCAGTGTTTTGTATCTTTTACATACGTTTATGACACTGTACATGTATTTTTGTTTTATTTATTCATACCGTAGCTCGGCGTCACATATGCCTTGGGTATTTATGGCATGGTAGCCTTTCCGACTGACGTATGCCACTTCTTCATTGGCCGGAGGTCGCTTTATTGGGACAAGTGTGCCGTCCACACATCCCAAAACATTGGGAAAGCCGGCTATTTTATAAAAAGTTTCTTTCACTCGTCTTTTTGAGGTAGTGTCATTGGAGAATTTTATGGAATTCAAACAGCTGCATAACGCAGCAATTGTGTCACGAATGCACGCTGACACGCTTGATTGTGTGATGCCATGCATGTCCACCAACTCTGTAGCGGGAGAATAGCTCGGAGTCGTCAAGCGTATCGAGGCGACGAGTTCTGTCTCGGAATATCCTCGGCCTTGTCATCAAATCATCGTCCTCTTCATCATGAAAAATGTCCAGAGCAAAGAATGCCGCCATCTTGGATGAAGATAAAATAGACTTACGACAGGTATAGGGCTATCTTAGATTTACGAAAAACTTAAGATATATTGGGCCTACGATAGTTTCGAAAATATGCTACGATAGCCTACGATTTCCTTACGATAACTTTACGATAATCTTAGGGCTACGATCGTTTCGAAAATCTAGGCCCAGTACCACAACTTCTCGTGAGGACGATCTCCTTCGTATGTCACATATGTCTCAAAGACAAGTAGCGAGTTTTAATGAGATTATGTCGGACGCGAACTCGCGACCTTCGGATTGTTAGCCCGACAGCAAACTGACTGAGCTACGTCCACACCGTGAAACAAATATTCAAAACTCTCAACACCGCTGGGTGTATTCAATGACATTGCGTTTAGAGATGATAGATCACTGGGAGGAGCTTATGCACACTCGATGACCTTGACGTCACAGGGCATTGTTTCGCCGGTGTGACTTGCAACAAAATACTACAAATTACGTCATAGGGTATTGTCACGTGTTTTAAAAGTTTGTGGTCAGGCAGGCCGCAGTTTGTTTACACCGTAATACATCACTCGAACATATGACAGGCATTGAAAGCATATAAGTTCGGCAACTTGGAACCCAACATGAGGTGGGCACACCTCTAAAGAAAACTAAGCAATGTTTGCAAAGCTTTCGTTCTACAATGCACGTCACCATTATGACGGCATATCGCGCATTGTGACGCAAAAGATATGACGTCACAGTCGTATATAGAAAAGGGCCAAATTCAAGCTAATAATATATTGTTATATTGGAGACGGGGCCCAGCTTAAATTCAAGCTCGCTATTTTCTAAGTAAGCTGGTTCCCGGTTCCTTATGCGCGTCGTCAACTTGCGTATATTGTGATATTAGAGACGGGGCCCAGCTTACCTATTCTCCTCAAAATTTAAAATACATTCTCTTTGTAGATTTATATCGTGTTTTCTGCACGGATGTATTGCCACGCATCCTTTGAATATTGTAGTAACCGCCACTTTGCATTTCGTAATTTATAGTTGTAGATATAATTATTTATATATGCCTACCGACAAGACAGAAAAATGTACTATTTTTATGAATATGAGCTTCCGCGATGATGCGACCGTCAAACCAGCTGTTTCAATCAGAGGGGGTTTATTGTGATTTAATAACCTCTGATTGACCAATCAGAATCGAGTAAATTCCAAATTCATGGTAGAATTGTTGTTTAACGCCGCACTCAGCAATATTCAAGCTATATGACGGCGTCCTGTAAATAATCGAGTCTGGACCAGACAATCCAGTGATTGACATCATGAACATACGATGACGTGCACGACGTGTAAAAGGCGACTTTGCTTGTCGTAAGAGGCGACTAACAGGATCGGGTGGTCAGGCTCGCTGACTTGGTTGATGCATGTCATCGTATCCCAATTGCGTATATCGATGCTCATGATGTCTGTCACTGCACATGGATTGTCTGGTCCAGATTCGATTATTTACAGACTGCCGTCATATAGCAGGAATATTGCTGAGTGTGCGGTGTTAACCATCAAACAACAAACAAACAAACAAATATACAAAGAATAACCTAATGTCTTCGGACGGAGTGACGGATATGCATTACGATCGAGCTTGACGATAAATGCATCTGTCTGTATCAAAACATTCTGGTAGGAAAGCATTTATACTGTCATTATACTGATTCTCCCAACCAAACCCAATCTAAATAACATACAATTAAATTTTGATGCCAAATTAACTTTACCAAACTTTATATCCAATAGTAACATATTATTACATTTCTCCGGTAGATGTCATGCCGGCATGGACAGCAATGTATACCATTATTTGTATTTAGAATGACTGACATCTGAACAGCAGTAAGGATATAAGTGGAAATATCTTTTCAAGAGTGAGTGAGTGAATGTGGTTCCAACATTCTTCTCAACCGGTGTGTATTATCAACCAAAGGGGAAACGTTACATATCGGTTAGATTGAAATAAACACCCACAGCATCGGCTTTCACCATATAAAAAACGCATGTTGTTTTAAGAGCACATTATGTACCGTCATAGGCGACTGAAATCAATGCATATTCAGGTAGGCCATTGCGGAGGTGAACAATGCCTTTCAGCATATTCACAGCCCATTCGAATGAAAACCGGTTTGACTAAGACTTCCAAGGCTGTTGCAACATACATTAGAATCACTGTCCTGTGGTCGTGTGCATTTACCGCCATCTTGATTACTGTCTGTGTTCTGCAACAGGTATAAAGTACATATTTAGGAGGTCGAAGCGGAATCTTACAATACTGAAGATGATGTTGCTTGTGTGTGCGGTGGCGTTCTTGATGTCTGGAGCGTCAGCACAGTTTGATGCAGGTTAGAACACAACTTTATTTTGCAGTTTTGAGATTTATAAAGTCATTATGTTACAATACATGAGGTTTGTGAGCGGAAAGAGTGGCATTATTCATGAGTATGTTTGCAGCATGTACACTAAGCTGGAATCAAGATGCGGGATGGGTTTTCAAAATGTACATAAAATTAAAATTAAAATTAACACAAACCGCCAAATTGTTTCTCAGTGGAATACGAACTCCGATTCTCGGCGATGTACATGGAGTTTTTGCTCTGGCATCGATGGAATCCGAGCAAATGTAATTTAAAGAATCATAATCCACTTTACATGCTAACAATTGTATTATTCGTGTAGATGATTAATCACGTCGCCTTCACCTAGAAATAAAATATCTGGCAACTGCGTTCATTCCTGTTTGCAGCATATCCAAGGCGCGTAGACATTGATTTTCAACAAGCCGTGGCATTGCGTAAGCGTTATTTACTGTTAAACAAAAATGTTTTACGACCACCTGATAGCTAAAACAGTATATACTATTGGTATTGCAGTATATTACAGTAAAATAAGGAAATATATTTAGAAAAGAAAATGATTCGACACGCGCAAACACGCCTACAGTGTACTGAGATGCTCCCGGCAGGGTAACAACAAGTACCATCCATTAACGTCTTTTAACCGACCTTCCGCTCTCCGCGGGTGGACGCCCAGAGTGGCAAACATCTGAGACCTGACTTTCGGGGGTGTCCTCTCACACACCACGATGCAATTGGTGCTTCATTAAACCAACTCTTTCTCTCAATCTAATAGGGCACGGTGGCCCTGTTGTCTAAGGCGCCACAATTCGCTGTGCAGATTTGCGTCCCGAGGGCACGCCAGAAACCTATGATTGTGGGTTCGACTCCCGTTTCTCTCCTCTCATGTTGCTATACGGGGGGCACAACTCTCGTATCTCAAATTATCTACGAAGAACACAACTCGGGTCCACTCGGGTTCACTCGGGTCCACTCGGCTTGTCAACGTCACATCCGGTTGCATGCAGTTGGAAAAATACCTTAACATTACTTTAGGTATATACTAACGGAAAAAAGTAACTGTGCTCCATATAAAGCTGTGTAAGTTTTATGTTATATAAGATAACATCAAAATGTTTGGTCATTCGGCTGATTAATGTTCTATCATAACACAATCATTGACAACAGCCATGCCTGGGGACAGGAGACAGAAAGACACGCCTTAAAAGAGGGGTGGTGGGTGTAACAACTCATTAACATATTGGGTGTGATAGGCGAAGGCAGAGCAGGAGCGTTGCAGACACCAGAAAAAACAGCCTGGGGGATGTTGTTTCAAATGCCAACCACAGATTGGCCCAACTGAGCTAGCGTTACAGCGATCTGGTCCTGTCGTGGGCGTCGATCCATCTCATCCCAGACATATTCTATTGGGGAGAGGTTCGGAGACACAGCCGCCCATGACAGTACAGTAATGTTAAGCTGCCTCAAAAGTCGGTTTTAAAACGCGCAACTTGTGGGTGGGTTTTATCCTGCTGCAACGTGATGCCACGTTCCTGCGTTTGAATAAAGGGTAGAACATGATCATGACGATGTCGTCCCGATAGCGTGCGCCATTCAAATTGTCATTAGCAATGATGAGTTGTGTTCTCCCATGAGTTGTGATGCCACACCATACTATTACACTTGCACCCACTAACTGACGAGGCTAAGTAACGCAAACGTATCTAAAACATTCTCCTGGACGACTGTAGACCCTTGCACGACCATCAGAGCTATCCAGATGAAAGGGCGGTCGGGAAGCCTAGTGGTTAAAGCGTTCGTTTGTCACGCCAAAGACCCGGGTTCGATTCCCGACATGGGTACAATTTTTGAAGCCCATTTCTGGTGTCCCCCGCCGTGATATTGCTGGAATATTGCAAAAAGCGGCGTAAAACAATACTCACTCACTCACTCACTCCAGATGAAACCTGAACTCATCTGCGAACAGTATGCTGTCCCATTCTTGTTTCTTTAACGCCAAACCAGGGAAACGCTAAGCAAAGTTGGGCGTATCTCGGGGCGTCGGGGCGTCGGGGCGTCGGGGCCGGGTGTTGTGCCTACGGTCTGCCACTAATTGGTCTCAGCCACGGAATTTTCCGAGCTGTAAATATGGCATTTTGGTTTCGATTCCGCAAATGCAAAAACCGAATATGGTTGTTTTGTTGACGTGACGTCACACGTGGACGACCGGTTCATGGCAATCTCATTAAAATCAGATCTAACTTCTCGCTACCGCAAAACAAAGATCTGAGGACATCCCATTACGGGTCACGTCAGAACGACCTTTCGCGAACTTTGACCGACCACTGAAATGACTGATAAAAAGTCAACATCAGCCATTTAGAAATCACCTTTCTCGGGCTATACGGCACTCGTTTCAACCTGGCGACTTCAATTTCAGACTGCGCTTGAAAAATATGTTGACACAGTTCTCGATTAAAATTTTGAAAAATGAACAAACGAACATTCCTGAATGTCATATATATGGTTGAAATTGTATGGCAGTGCTTCCTACGTACTGTGCAACGCCTCCTCCGTTCAAACGTTTATCCCACGGAAGTGAGAGACAGACGATAATTTTGACGGAATCAGTTGTACGGGCCGTAACTATCGTTCGGAATGCCCCTTGTTAACGTTTTCGAGGTTGCATGATTAGAAAACACATTCCGACTGTCACTTTCATGATCTTGTAAGCGACGCTTTGATTGGTCGGATGAAAGGTCGTTCTGACGTGACGCGTAATGGAATGTCCTCAGATCTTTGTTCAGCGAAAGCGAGAACTAAGATCTGATTTTGATGAGATTGGGTCCATGGTAAGTCATGAGCATTGCTCTGCTGTAGATAACGTCTCCAAAAGATGATACTGTGTTTCGATGAACATTAAAAAATATCTGGCAACTTCGTTCATCCTGTTTGCAGCATATCCAAAGCGCGTAGACATTGATTTTCAACAAGCCGTGGCATTTCGTAAGCGTTATTTACCGTTAAACAAAAATGTTTTACGACCACCTAATAGTTAAATTACATTGTGTTCTGTTCGCATTAAAAAATACACGTGTGTGAGTAACATGCTCCCAACAAACATGCAAACATCCAAATTGTGTTCCGTGCATAAACATGCACATGCAAACTGTGAATCACGACCTTAAAGTCGAGAAGATGCCTTCATTAACATGTTTTGAAATATGCATTATTTAATTTCAGAATGCATTTATTTTTTTATATGAACCACTGTTACGTTTTTTCGTTATAATACTTTGAATTGAAGACAAAATCAAACGGAATCAAACAAGTATGAACTTAATATAAACTCGGCGACATTAGAACCTGTGGACTCGATAAATTAAGCATTTATGATTGTAATGTTCTCCTATGTAACACGCTGGACACCATACAGACTTGGGGGGCACGGGTGGCCCAGTCGTCTAAGGCGCCGCGATTCGCTGTGCAGAGTTGCGTCCCTTGGACACGCCAGAAACCTATGATTGTGGGTTCGAATCCCGGTTCGCCCCGATTATGTTTCTAGGTTTGTCAGCACCATACCCGTGCTCGTGGGTTTCACCGAAGTGGTAAACGTCTGAGACCTGCATCACTTCGGGCTTTCCTCCCACATTAAGCTGACACGCCGCGATATAACTGGAATATTGTTAAAAGCGGCGTTAAACCCAACTCACTCACTAACTCATACAGACTTGTGTACTTGAGTATTTTTAAATAATATTTGACTAAACGTAGTATACCTGATCTCTTTGAAGGGGCCACGAACTTTTGGGTGACATTCATATAAGGTCAAGGACGCTAGTGGTCCAAATATTAAAATAATTATTCAAATTTCACGAAATTTCGGATTAATTCGTGAAAACCCAGAGATTTTTTCAGACATGAGGAGGAAGCCTAAGTAACTAACTCACCACCTATCATATGACATTATTGTGTCAAATGTCAAGGTCACACACAAAAAGGTCATTCACTTATGAAACGGCATGTAAACAGTTATATTCTGGAAGTATTGTTGGTAAGGTATAGGGATTCATTCATATGTATACACCACCTAACACGAAATGTTTTCGCTTGTGATTGGAGGACGATTATGGCCAAGGCCACTCGGTAGCAAGTAGATCTTACAAACTACATGTCAACACACCTTGAGCATTTAGAATTGGATTTAACATTATAAATACAGGGTCTGTAGGCAGCTCATTGCTGTTCTGTTTCAAAGTGGTATGTTAAGTTTCCTTATCAGGAATTAATGTATTTAAACCGGAAACCTTTATTTTTTTTTATTATGATATCTAGAGTCAAATGACTCTCTGTTTCAAAGTTGTGTTCATCTTCCCGAAGCGAGGGAGTTAACAGACTATAAAAGTCCAATTTCAACCCTTGCCGAACAAATGATTTTATGCACTACGCGAGGTAAGACCCGTTTTATTACAATATAGATCTTGATTATCAATCAGATCGTCTTAACTGGGCGCCGCCATATTGTTTGAAGGAAATGCAGGTGATGTGTCAGTTAACTCCCTGGCTTCGGGAAGATAGTGGGGCGGTCGGGTAGCCTAGTGGTTAAAGCGTTCGATCGTCACGCCGAAGACCTGGGTTCGATTCCCGACATGGGTACATTGTGTGAAGCCCATTTCTGGTGTCCCCCGCCGTGATATTGCTGGAATATTGCTAAAAGCGGCGTAAAACCATACTCACTCACTCACTCGGGAAGATAGTTGTATTGCATTAGGCATATGTTTTCATAAACCCTAAACCGCACGTGATGTTATTAAATCAGAAGCACTATTACTTTGTTATTTAGGTACATAGAAGCATAGACTTGTCTGTCTCAAACTTCCACTGCATTGCGCAATTGTGAAGTCACCATCATCCGATTTGTTAAAGTCAGAATGGTTCACGACGCATGTTTTGATTGGGAAAGTTTCAGGGTATTGTTGCTTATTGGTGCGTCACAGTCACTACGTAAC